GCTTATTAATGTTTGTAAATAATATGTAAATAATGTAAATATTTGGAACCTCTTTGCACCCAAACCAAGCTCAGTACTAGACAGATGACTAACAGACCCTCGACATTACAGGCTGCTCAGTTTAACAACCAGCAGATGTTTTCAATAGACCACATTTAGCTGTCCTGAAGCGTGGATGGCAATTAAGTTGTGTGCATTAGCATTGATAGCATGTTTAACACACCAAAACAAACCTGACTTAAGCAAAAGCTTAGCCAACACTAATCAAGTATTATCTTACATTCATTTCAAACAATAAAGTGACTTGGTTTGTCATGTTGATTGATTTAAATGTAACATCGGCTTTAAACAGATTAATATAAATCCATGTTTATCCTCGTTAAACTCATTCATTCCCATATTCAATGAAAGATCAGATTTCTTTTTCTTTGGGTTTTCATGATCTCTTTCTACTTGTTTTTCTCATCAGTCTGTAGCATGTTGTCATGATGGATCCCCCTGGCTCTGGCTCCTGCTCTTCTTCACCTTCAGGTGGAGGTTCATTTGGATATTTTTAGCCCACCCTACAGATTCTAGAATGACTCCAAATTATGATCACATGATCTTTTTACATCCCCCTGCTCCCTGAGTGAAAGATTGTTTCATTTGTAATTTGTGTTAAGATACAACATGCCCTTTTTTTTGATTAAATTCAAATCCAATCATGTCTCATGGCATCCATCATATTCATCTTGTGTTTTTCATGTGATTGTGTTTGACATCCTTTTTAATCTGTTTTCACATGAAGCTGCTGAAGGTTATTCCACCTGCAGAAACTATATGAAGCTCTGTGTAGCTCAGCAACAGACTGAGGTATCTGATGTATTCATATAGCTGTTCCCAGGCTTTTGTGCAGAGGAGCAGCGCCCCCTACAGTTAGAAAGTGTCTCTGCAGGGGACCACAGCTCAGTCCATGTCATTTACTTCAGTCTAAACTCACAGCAGTGAAACAAAGATACTATTCAGTGAAACGCTGAAGGTTCAGACTGTCGCTGTGTTCTGAGAACATTTTAACTGTTTGATTTCACCTCTAGAATAACATCAGGGGACATTTTAAAAAACAACAAATGAGCCTACCTCTTTGGTTTATGTTAAAAACACTAAATATAACTGGATTATTATTTTTTTTATTTTACAGCCTGCAGACTGTTGGTGACAGCCAACATGTGTAGATCAGTGTGACAACAGCTGTTAAACTTGTGATCAGCCTGTCCTGCTCTGCACCGCTGTCTTAACACACACACACACACACACACGTTTCTGTTGTCAGACAGTGAATGACCATGAAGACTGGAGCTCGTTAATGCTGAACTCCTGCGCTGTTGTGTTGACATGATTATCACTGTAAATCACTGTTTTATGAGTCATGGAGTCACCTGACAAAAACAACAAAAGATAAAGGTTAAGAACAACACCTGTGGTGTGACATCACAGAGCGGGTTAGAGGAAGCTCCACAGCCTCTGGGTCTGAGGGGCTGATATCATGACACTGTTCACATATTCTTACATACATCAGCTTCACACTACATATACTTTTCTCGACTCAAGAAAATGAGATATTGACTGTACACTGATATAATGAATGAAATGTGGTATGTATCTTATTTGGTATATTTGATTTGTTTATGCATATTCTGGCTCCGGTGAATATTTTGTAATTGTTGCTATGGTGTCAACAAAGGTTATAGCACGTCCTCTGAGCAGCTAAGTCTTCAGGACAGATTTGAGGCTACAGTGAGTCGCTATAGGAGGATGATGAAACTGGCCCGGGGCTAGCTGGTTAGCTAACGTCAGCAGAAGAAAAGAAGTGATAGAGACATGAGTTAACATTATGGTTGTTTCCACTTCTGGATGCAGCTGTTAGTGAGTAAAGGAATAAAGTTTGATGCTGAACTCACAACGTTTCTTCTAGGCTTGTAAGTAAACAATGCTAGCTGCTAATGGTAGCATTAAAAAAACGTACAAATAGCTCCTTTAACTTTTCTTTCATTACATTACGTACATTGTGTTGTGAGGTTAAATAAATAAATCTCTTGACAACACGAACAAACAGCGCTGTCCATGGTTCTGAAATAACAGCGATGTTTGAGTTAATGAGAAAAGAACTACTGTTTTACTACGAACTTAGTAAATGCATAAATGTAAGTAGTAGTAGTAGTAATAATAATAAGAAGAAGAAGAATTATAATAATAAGAATTTGTGTTAGTTAGTTATTTTATAACTTCTTCATTGGTGTGTCAATGGGAAATATTCTGAATTTTCCAACTTTCCTTTAGGAAATACTGAGTTGCTGTTTTCTCGACGCTCATTAGTTAGATGTGACATAAATAAAAATAGGATTAAAAGGATAATCAATTTATTGGAGCATATCTACATATCAAATGTAGGCGCTATGACCCTCACTAATGAAGGGCTTCGTCCCAGTGCACATGATGCACGCAGAAAGAAAAAATGTAATTGAATGATTTAATTTTAATATCAGTAGCTGTAGACGTCCATAGCTGAGCTCTGATATTGACAGTCTGTCTTGCAGCTACAGTGTCCAAACTTTTTATTTTTTAATTATTTTCCAGGTCAATCTAATGCAGAGTTCAGACACTTTGATTATTCTGAGGGGCTGATCATTCAAATACTAATCTATATGTCCTGGCATGTAATGGATGAGAGGCAGCCATTTTCACCCCCACCGCCCTCAGCTCTAAAACCAACACAGTCAATTTCAGATAAGCTCCTGGTCATTATCCTTGTAGTGACACAGGCTGATATCAGAACGCTCATTATTTTCTTGCTGACTTTAGAACAACTTGCTACTGAGAAGCTATATAATAACGCATGATAATAACCAGCAGTGCAGCAGTGTTTTTTAATCTCGTGAAGGGTTAGGGTTAGGAACATGCCAGTGTTTCTTAGAGGTGAAGTTAAGTTTTACATGCTAGTCTTCACCTGCAGCATTCAGCTCCACCTTTCATACTCTCCTTCTTTCGTTTTCTCTTTACTCTCTCTGTTCTTTCTGAGCCCCTGATTGTTGCTCACTCAGTGTTTTGACTTGTTTTTCCACTGAACCATTTTTACAGTAACAGTGGGGGTGGGTGGGGTAGTTGATTTGTGTTTTCAGCTCATTTTTATATGTAAATAAATTGTAGTGGCAGTGATATAAGTCAGTAAGTAAACTGTTGTAATGGTCAACCATAGACCTTTAAGGTGCGTGAGCCCCCCTGGGTTATCTCTACCTTTTGACCCCCCCCCCCGATGGCGAGGTTGCACCAGGTTATGCGTCCAGGGAGGGCACTCATGACACTTCATTTCCTGAAGTTAACCCTAACCCTGCAATTAATTCACACAAATGATTTATCTGAGGTAAAGTGGGAGGTAATGTGTGCGTTAATTATTAATGTGTTCTCTTGAATTAATTACTTGTACCTAGAAATGGTTAGATTGCACTCTACCCTCTGTTTTCTACACAACTACACATCATGTCAGTGGGTCATGGACAAATGTGATGAATGAATGAATGAATGAATGAATGAAGGTAATTAAACATTCCAAGGTACAAATGATTAGTCCAAAGACGATCCATATTGAGTGTCCCTTTGGCAGTGAAGTGGACTGTAACTACTGAGGCCACTCACTGTTAACACATCTCTATGTTACATTACTGATACACTCTGTCCACAGTGTATTACACTGAACTGATGCAATACATTTTACTTGCTTATTATTATTATACTAAACTACACACTGTTGGGTACAGACAGAGGGGCACCTTCAGGAGAGGCAAACAAGGCAAATGCTCTGGGCCCCTTAGGGGAACAGGGGCCCCATGTGGCCCCTCATATATTGCCACATTTTGCAAAGAGAACAAAACCCCCTTAAACCTCCCACAAACACTCTATACAATGCATTGCTGCTGCCCCCCCCCCATTGCCTGACGTTGGGTTCAGGGAACATCTGTAAAGTACATCGTCTTCCAATAGTCTGCATGAGGTGTTTAGGGAACATCTGTAAATTGCATCATATAGTGATAGTCTGCATGAGGTGTTCAGGGAACATCTGTAAAGTGCATCAGCTATCTACAGTCTGCATGAGGTGTTCAGGGAACATCTGGAAAATGGCATTGTCTCCCGATAGTCTGCACATGAGGTGTTCAGGGGACAGTGAGGGACAAGTGAATAAATATTCCACACTCATTCATGACTTTTAGACAACTGTTTATTCGAAAGCAGATTGTCAGTGGTTAGTGTTTCACCTCCACAGGTTTGGATACGATGTTTTCCACCACTCAGAGCTACGACCTGGAAACTCATGTTTCAGTCATTTTTCTAATGAGTAAACTCACCAGACACTTGGTTTTTTATTTTCCTTCAAGCAGGTTTTTTTTTTTCGATCAGCATATTTTTTTTTTTTAGTCGTCAAACAGGCAAACATATAAAATAACCAATATATAGTCTGTAACATTACGATTACACTGTAAGATTACACTGGTTAAAAATTTATATGATAGACTTTCTGCTCTACACGTAGCACCACGCAGACAATCAGCTGACAGTATGACCCAGATCTCCCCTGTTGTAGTTACACAGATGGTCCACATGGTGACGTCCCACTGCCGTTCTAACAGATCCACCTCCACACAGAGGTTATCGGGACTGGACTGGAGGCTCAGCGGGTCACAGACCAAATCAAAAAATGGATTTATCTTCACCTTCAGCTCCTTAAATGTCACGTCACCAAACTCTCCAGATGAGCGTCGCTCACTACCTGTCATACTTGAAACTGATGCCTCTGTGTGAAATGTTCTCAAATTGTCCTTTTTCTTAAATCATTTATTTCACTCTTTGATTCTCCAACTTCTAATAGTTTATACATTAATACAAACCATTTTCAAACCACACCACAGTCTGATTGTGATGTGGATGTATTCTGTATTAAAGGTTGGTAATGCTGTGACCATTGTATTCAGTTTTTTTTTTTTTAGTTCTGGCCGTTGGTTTTATCAGTCATGGTAACACTGAGCTCACTGAGGAACATCAGTAGTTGTGCACAGTTTTCCTGGACGATGAGGGATTATCAGAAACATGATGACAGCATTTTATCCACTCTGAATCCTTGACATTTTTGTTATTTTCAAAGTATAAATAAACTAAAACTCGTCTTTTATTTGGCTGAGGACAGACACCAGAAAAAAGTTTCATTCCAAAAGTTACAGGCTAAAAGTTCAATAAAAGATAAAAAGTTAAATATAAAACTTTTTCGAGCTGAAACTTAGTGAACCTCACCTCATCTCAGGTGTTCTCACTCCCAAACGTTTGGTTTGTTTCCTGACTGATCCTTTGACTGTGATGATGTCACAGGTCTCAGCTGTTACCTTGGTGACTACAGAGTCATCATAACGGATAAAATGATGGACAAAGCTGTGAGCACCAAACCAAAGTTGTAATAAACAGGAAATATCTTTTAAATGTATCCAGATTACAGGAAGTGGACTCAAACATGCAGAAACCACTGGTGAGGTCCGGTCCAGTAACCAGAAGGTCTTCCTCTGGGGACGTGGACCTGGATCCACCTCTGCTCATCATGACTTTGACTGAAAGACCTCTTACTACCTGAATGCTTTCTTCATACAACCTTTTGACAAAACAACTCAAGTTAATCCAGAGCTCTCAGCCATGTAACACAGTCTTCATCAGTGGATGAGCAGCTGTAGGACTTTTAACTGTGACGGCTCAACGAGGACTCGACTGAGCAAACTCAAATAAGTAAGGGGACCTTGAGTTGAGTCTCAAACTGGGTGTAGAATGAACCTTCAAGCTGAATCACACAGTGTTTCTTGATGAAAGTTTGGGCAGAAAAAAAACCAACCCTGTTCTCCACCTGACCCGCTCCTCCCACACAGACACACATCAGACAGTGAAGAGACACACACACTCAGAGTCAGAGTCAGCACCGTGTCCCGCACAGATCACTGTGCCAGCGTGCAGCGGTGGCTCTTGTAGGTCCCCAGGTGGCGGAAGCTGCGTCCACACTGCTGGCAGCAGTAGGGCGTGGCCCCGCTGTGGATCCTCTGGTGGGTGTACAGGTTCCCCAGCTCCTTGAAGCGCCGGCCACACTGAGGGCATGCGTACGGGCTCTCTCCAGTGTGCACCCGTTGGTGTCTTTTGAGTCCGGACAGCACTGAGAAGCCTTTGCCGCACTGGGGGCAGGGGAAGGGGCTCTGGGCGCCGCTGTGCACCAGCCTGTGGCTCTTTAACCGCGCCGCGTGGCGGAACCTCTCCCCGCACTCCGGACACATGAAGGGCTTCTCCCCGGTGTGGATGCGCTGGTGCTGGCGCAGGTTGCCAAGGTAGTTAAAATGGCGGCCACAGTCCCCGCACTCGTACCCCCCCTCAATTTTAATCTCCTTTTTCACAAGCCCCCCTCCCCTCCTGATGCCGACACCGGGTCCCGGTCTCGTGCCGTCCTCGCTCTGCCCTTCCTCAACCCTTCTGGACTCACTGCTGCCGTCCCCCATGGTGGGTGCAGCGGAGGAGGTGGACTGCAGGGCCTGCAGGGTCTGGGCACCAGCAGAGTCTGAGTGTATCAGTTTAATATGCTCCTCCAGGAACATGGAGTCGGGGCAGAAGGTTCCACACAGAGAGCAGATGTAGGTGTGAGAGGGGAACTGCTGACCTGAAATCAGACAGCAGGGGATATGATTGTGAGTATTATTAAAAAACATGAACATGTAAAGAGACAGATGTGGTCCAGCTGGTTTGTTGTGGACCTGACCAGGACTTCTATAAGGACCTCTGTCGCCTTTTCCTTTATTGATTAAAATGTTTACATCACATCTTTCTGCTCTTTGGCATTTTCCATAAAGTTCAAGAAAAAGAAAAGTCCAGGTCCAGCAGCCAAGTAGAGGTTTCTGGCACAACTTCACCTACTTCCATTAACCAGTTATCATAAAAAGACAGCGGTAATCTGGACCTGGGATAGACCTGGGCTGGATCTAGGTTGGACCTAGGTTGGACCTAGGCTGGACCTGGACTGGACCTGGGTTAGACCTGGGCTGGACCTGAACACTTGCAGTAAACAGAAGAACTCTAATATTAGACTGACGCATTCCGGTTTGTTGCCTGTGACCCTGAGGAAGTGACAAGTTTTGAGTTTTGACCTCTCAAGCCCAGGTCCTCCAGGTCCTCCAGGTCCTCCAGGTCCCCCAGGTCCCCCAGGTCCCCCAGGTCCCCCAGGTCCCCCAGGTCCAGATTACCGCTGGTTAATGTGCAGTGTTCAGTGTCACTCACTGTGTTTTTTAACACTGATGCAGAGGAACCAGGATTATTGTCTCAAAACTTGCTGCCTATATTACCCATAATGCAACTTGACCACAAACAGTTTGGCCAGAGGTCACAGGTGTGTTAACCATGATCCTGTAGCCTTCAGCTGAGACTTGTCGTTTCAAACTTGTACTCCTCACACCCCGCCCACTCTGACTCAGGTGACATCACCTGTGGACAGACTTCACACGGCTCTCTCTGCAGCTGTGTTACTTTTTCACATACGTAGCAGCACTCCAACATCTGGAAACACATGCAGATGTGTGAACCCGACTCTTTATAGAACAGGATTAACAGACTCATGTTAATAGATGGTTAAAGTGTAGAGGAGTGAGGACTGGAGCTGAGTCATGTGACATCAGTCATCCAGTCCTGGCTCGCATCATCTCTCTTTTTATCGGTCCTTCCCCTCCCCCCCGCCCCCCCTGTCTTACCCACCTGCCTCGGGCCTGTCTGCGTTGCCCTCCAGGGGGCTGCCTCCCTCTGCTGAAGAGCTCTGGGGCTCGATGGAGAAGTCAGGGGGCTGGACGTGTGGGAGCGGCACCTGGTTCTGGTCGAGTCCGCTTCCTTCCCTCCTCGACGACTCGTCTTCATCCTCGTTGTCCGTCTCAGCGGTCAGGGCGTTCTCACACTCGGGCTCCTTCATCACTGGAAATATGATCACACAACGCTTCAGTCTTAGAGTCCAAGAATTCAGTCAGTGGTTACCATGACGACAAACTGACAAGAGATCTGCTGAAACATATTTACTTAAAAGATTTACAGGTCTGGCAGGAAGTTGACGTTCAGGTATGTCTTTATGGAGCTCTTCATATTCAACACAGAAGAACGAACATCTAGGGAGAGCTTCTTATGGACATCTGTTTCCACCGGATGAGAAGTTATCCATCATAAAACATAAAGGGGAGCGGCTCTTATGGGCAGCTGCTGACTGTAGCTGGTATGGAGTTCAGTGTTTTGTCTGTGTTGAACATGAGCAGCTACTTTTACTCTTTTACACAGATTCTAGGGCGGAAATACAGACTCAGACTTTTTTTCTTTTTTTTTTTACCTTTTTGGTGTCTTATGTGCAACACACTCACTGACATACATGACTTTTTTTTTTTTTGGGGAGGCAAGACAAAGACAAGGAGGGGGACATAACATGACATGACATGACATGACATGACATGGCTTTTGTTATCATAATATTTTGACTTATTGAGAGTTTTCGGGTGAGACAGAGGAAAGAAGATGAAAAAGGAAAGAAGAAAAACATAAAAACATATTTTCTAAAAAGTGTTTTGTGAGGTCCCCGTGACCTTGATCTTTGACCCCCAAAGTCTAATCAGTTCGTCCTTGAGTCCTGGTGAATGTTTTTGCCAAATTTGAAGAAGTTCAGTCAAGGCGTTACTAAGATACCGTGTCCATGAGAATAGGACAGACGGACGGAAGGACAACCCAAAAATGATATGCGTTAAAAACATCTCAATTATTACGTAGTAAGTAAGAAAAAATACTTGTTAATATTATCTCTAAAAATAATATCTGATACATTTTAAGACAGTAGAATAAATAATTATAGTAGATCATTATTATGAAGCTGTGAGGGTCAAAGTGGATCAGTGTTTCCACCAGGACTGTCCTTCAGATGGAGGTGGACCGCTGAGTCCTGACCTGAGGACTTGGAGTTCCTGTGTTCTGCCATGTGCTTGTGAAGCAGTTGTTTTGTTTCCTCAGTGAACAGCTCTGTTCATTCCTCACTGCACTGAACTGTGTACGCTACATTATACCTTTGTGTTTAGTCTTCAGGGCGGACAGGTTCTCTGCAGCTCAGTAAAACATCTAAAAGCTATTAGACCGTATGTTCTATATGTTGTTGAGTTGTGTTCTTACATTTTCAAAAATGTTTCAATCAATTCTCAAACCAGAGAAATCAGTGATTTTAATCATGGTAACGCTCCGTGTCATTGGTCGCCTGTCTGTGACATCATATCCTCTATGATCATGTGTCAGTGTGTTTGTCTGACAGGAGCTCAANACTATTAAACCTGTGTTCTATATGTTGTTGAGTTGTGTTCTTACATTTTCGAAAATGTTTCAATCAATTCTCAAACCAGAGAAATCTGTGATTTTAATCATGGTAACGCTCCGTGTCATTGGTCGCCTGTCTGTGACATCATATCCTCTATGATCATGTGTCAGTGTGTTTGTCTGACAGAAGCTCAACATTGACTTTTATCTAGTTTTAAGCCACATACACTTTTGACACCTTGGTGGTTTTCAGCTCTATATTTGAACCAGATGAAGGATTTTAGTCGTCGGACGTCTGGATCTGAAGTTATCAGAGAAACAAGCTGAGGAAATGTTAGACAGCTCAGCTCCCAGCTGCTGGAGACGTCCTGTCCTGTGTCACTGAAGAGCGTTGCTGAATCTTTGAGTTTTAAAGGTAAACTGCTTTATTCAGTGTTTCTACTGGTTTTAATCCCCTGGTGTGTTTGTTGTGGAGAGGAGGACACCTCTGTGGATCATTCAGCTGCTGGTAAAAACCTGCTGAACGTCTGCTTCATAAGTTATCAGAGAAACAATCAGAACAAAGGTTAGCATCAATCTCAGCTCCAGCTCTTCCCTGAGTCTCTGTCCTCCGTACAGCGTCGCTCAAACACTGACTTTAAATGTCAAACTGCTTCGTTCAGAGTTTTTAACAGTTAGAATCACCTGGTCTGTTTGATTTCCTGAACCACTGACACTGAAGGAATCCAAACCGGGAGGAGCTTACGGTAATGGTGGTGAAGACAACAACTCCCATGATCCCACGCTACCACTCAACGCCTGTTTTGTTATTGTTTTGATTGAGAGAAACCTAGAAGCAGAAGTTACAGGTTGTGTGTTTAAAGAGACGCCAACCACAATATAAACAGTGTGACATCACCTCGCAGTCAGTCATCATATCACCTCAAACTATACTGACGTCACATCAGGACTTAGTTTTGACTGGTGCTGGTGTCGCGTTGAAATCTGTTTCCTCCCGTATTAACCTGAACCTAACACCAACTGGTTATCTCTGCCGCTTCTAACTATAACCCAACCTAAGCCATGACCCCAAACGCTGAGAGGAGGATTGTGGGAAATGCGCTGCCTGAAGGGGGACCAGACAGGAGCTTTTCTTTACACCAGCTACTGCGGACAGGGAGAGGGTCCCTCCCATCCCCCTGTACTGTGTCAGTCTCACAACAACACTTCACTGTTGTTAACTTTAACTCTGACTGTCAACTTTGTCAGTCAGACGAGTTTGTTTACTGTATTTTTTACTATTATCAATCCTAACCTTCCATCTGTTGCACAGGTTGTGTGTCCTCACCTCTGTGACTCACACACCTCACCACTGGGTCTGTGTGTTTACCTTTCAGGTCTGAAGAATACTCGATCGGTGCGATCCATTCGTAGTCATACATCCGTTTGCTGCCAGAGGGGAGCATGCTGAAGATATCATCCGTGGTGGACTCGGAGTCTCCGTGCCCAGACCCGGAGCCCGCCATGCCGCCGTCAGGCCACAGGCTCAGAGAGTGCGGGTCCTGGTCTGGGCGAACCTCCCTCTCGCCGCTGGCTTGGCTGCTCTGGTCTCCGTCCATGTCAGCGCAGCCTCTGGAGTTCTTGTCTTTCATCAGATAGTCACAGATCGCGTCGATGTTCTCCTTCTTCACCCCGGGCATGACAGCTTTGGCTCTCCTGGGGTCGGCGTTGTTGTGCTTGGTTCCAGAGCTGAAGTCAGGCTTCTTGTAGCCCGCCTCTGTAGATGGATCCGTGGTCGCCGCGCCGGGGAACGGATCCCTGCCGTTCCTCTGGACTGTATCCAGTCTCGCCTTCAACACTTCAATCTCCTCGGTTTTCTCTCGTAGCTCCATTTTCAGGACTCGGATCCGGATGCTGACCATTTTGCGGATCTCAGACAGCGCTGTCTCCAGCACCACGGTGATGTTCCTGCCGAGGTGCTCGGTGATGTCGCTGACCGAGCAGAGCAGCTCCTCGTCGGGCTCCAGCTCCAGGAAATCGCCGTCGGCTCGGCTTGCTGTCCCGGGAGGCTCCATGAAGGCGCCGTGGAGTTCAGGAGTCAGGCTCGTCTCAGCGAAACTGTAGTTTCTCCTGCGACTCATAGATTAGCTTCGATTAGTTTGTGGAGTTTAGCTAGCTACAAGCTACTCAGCAAGCTAATGTTTGGATGCTGCTGAAAGACAGTAGTTAGCTCAGTTAGCTTTGTCAGAGTTAGCGTGAACAACGCCGGATGTCATAAGAATCGGTCTTCAAAATAAAAGCACCATCATGTCAAACAACTGCCCAGGGTTAGCTTCGCCATTCGATTTTTGTTTTGAAAGCGGTTAAAGGAAGTATCCTCTTTAATATTAGTTTACTTGATAGATTCACTCAACAGAGTTGGAGTAATGGCTGAATTCTGTAGGATCAATTTCCATACGTAGCGCCCTCTAAAGGCTATAATAGGAAACGAATAGTGACCGTTTTATCAATATTATGGTATTACTGTATTTTGTAATAAATAAGGCATTGCTAAATGATTTACTAATGTTTTATAGATCTGTTAATTCATTAATTGACCAGTTAATTCATTATTAACCCCTCTTTTCTGCGTTTCCCTCATTCATTAATAATATAATATATATTATCTATTGTTTGTAATTGAGACAAATGTAATGTATGAAAGGCATATTGTCTTCGGGTTGTCCTTCTGCCTTGATGGAACTTCTTCAAATTTGTCACAAACTTTCACTTGGACTCAAGGATGAACTGATTAGAATTTGATGGTCAAAGGTCAAGTCGTGTTTTTGGCCATAACTCATAAAGTCATTCACTCATTATGACACAGTTTAACTCAAATGTCTATAAGGATAAAGTAAAGTGATGACATTTTATATCCAAAAAGGTTGAAGGTCAACTTCACTGTGACATAATGTTCTGCAAAAACACTTCTGGTCATTATTCAACACTGTAACTCAGGAAGGAGAGAGTGTGGCCATATTTCCTGATACTTGGCTGGTTGGTGGAGGAAACAATCATGAGTAGATGATTCTAGTTTTATGTCTGTAGATAGATAGTAAAATCAGGCAAATGTTTGCCCAACCCAACCCCAAAAAAGGGGCCCGCAATTGCCCATGATAGTGGCGCATCAAACCTTTATACAGTGCACTACTGCTGCCCCAAAACCCACATAAGTGAGGCTCCTGCTGATGTGTGCTGTAGCTAGTGTATACCATTGACTGCATGTGAGGTGTTTAGGGGGCAAATGCAAATTGTAGCATCTGCCCCTAGTCTGCATGTGGGGGGGTTCTTCGATGCTTGGGGCCCCCCAGAGTCTAGGGGTCGTCACTGATAAAGCGATCTAATTGAATTTAAAGATACTGATGCAAGACACAACTGTGTTCTACATTAACACTGGATGGATCAAATGACTGTGTGTAGACAGCTGTTGGTCACAGTGATGAACCCACACAGTGAAATCACTTACTCTTAACTTAAGATTTTTAGCTTCTTTTAGCTCCTCGTTTTGGTTTTCTAGCTCACTAATTGCCCTCACCAGTCTTGTTTCCAGCAGCAGCTGTTTCCAGACAAAACGTCTCCGTGCAGCACCAAACAGGAGACAGACAGACTGAACATAATGGAGCATTTAGATGGATATTTCCAGAAATTCCCCTCAGGAGCTGGTGGAGACCAAAGGAGAGGAAAAAGGACTTCTAATAGGTTTGATTTCATGAGCTGGGGGGGGGGGGGGGGGACGACGACACAGTGAGGATGTTTACAAAAAAATATCTACATTTAAATGAACTGAGTGAATAACAAATTACACTAAAATGTCTATTGTGTTTCCCACAATAACAGAAAAGTAGAAATGCCCTGTAACACTTTAAATTGTAGGTAAATGATCATTTCTAATTTATTGACTTGTTTACTGCGAAGAACACCTTCTTATTTTTGACCGATGTTCATTTAATGTGTCTATTTAGGACAATATTAACTGTAAATTACAATTTCTGACCCAAAAATCCTAGTTTGTAGACACTTTTTTTTCAGCCCTGTCTAATCTGTGCAGGTAGGCCACAGCTGCTCACTATGACCACTGCTTTAGATGCAAGTGTTATATCATTATATTCATCATGGCAGGCAGAAAGACGTCAGTAAAGAATTCTCTCCAAATGAATACATGTGAGACTTACTCACACCACGTTGTACTTTACACCACTTTGTCACCTGAAAGCCACTGTGTGTAATAAAAAGTGTAATGACAGGAGTAAGTAGACTCTGTGTGTGTCACTTTAGTGCTGAGCCATCACTGAACTTGTGATCCTCTTCCTGTGATTGTGCGTCTGCTGCTGTTATAAATTCCTGAGTGTTGCTCCAGTTTTAGAGCTGCTCTGGTTCCGCGGAGGAACCGAGCGGAGGAAAGGAAATGCTGAGTGGGTTCCTGGGATGATTAAAAACTCACAGTCTGGGTTAAACGCTGTGAAAAACATAAAAGACAGTGAAACAGACAGTTTAGGACACAGACAGTGGTTCGGTCACAGGAGGAGTTTTATTTGTTCAGTGAGTGATTATTAACCTGAAAACTGTGCACTTGAATTCTGAGGAGAGAACTTTTCAAAGCTGAATCTCACAGAAAATTAAATAATTATCGTTTGAGTTTAGATTCATATGCACACGCTGAACAGTCTGAACAGTCTGAACAGTCTGAACAGGAGTAAGAAGAAACAATAAAATACTGATCAGGGTTTGGGTCTGTGTCAATAAAGTGTCCAAGTCAAGTTAACCAGAGTAAAACAGGAAACTAAGTGAATGTAATTTCAAATTAATAGTGATGTTAAGATTGTCATTTTATTCACAGTAAATTTAGTCATAACATATACAGGACATAAAAATACTGACTCCATCTCCCACCCAAAACAACCCCTATAAATAAGAAACATAAAAATCAATAATACACCAGATATAATATATTTATAAAGTCAATAAATTCAAGTGAATAAATTAACAAATTCATATAAATTATGAATACTTATAGTAAATTAACAAACACATGAATTAATAATCAGAGCAATTGCATAAATGTAATAGGAAAATGAATGAGTCATATACAAAATGTACTGAACAAATGAACCAAAATAGAAAATAAAATAAATGAAAAGATGGATAAGGAAATAAAAGAAAAGAAAACGATTTAAATATAAAAAAACAAAAAAGTCCAAGTCCCCTCAATTCCTCCCACACACACCCCTATAAATAAATCTCAGAACTGTTTTATTTATTTTGCTATTAATCTTGTTATAATTTTTTTTTTCAAGAGATCAGGCTCTAAAGCTTTTTGTCTCACTTTTTTTTTGCACTTTTTGGTATGAATTACCCGAATATGTTTTCCATTTCTTCTTCTTTATTTTTATATTTGTGCCTAAAGCTTAACATGATAATGTTTTGAAAAATATATTCTTTTTATTTTAAGTTTCAATAATTATTCTAACAACAAATAATTAACACACTCGATTACTAAAGCTATATTCATTGAAGCAGACTACTGCGAATGGGCTACAAGAAACTAGGCTATAATTTATTTTGTTATTTAGTTTATAGTTTAGTCAAATATATTAAAACAATCTCCTCAAAAAATAAGATGCAAACTTGTGAATTCTCTATTTTCTGACACGTTTTTGTCAACATGACCTTTATTTTGAAAAGAAGCAGCAGGGCAGTTCCTGCGGTGAGCTTGACACTGAGACACAAGTTTTGCCGCCTGCATCTGGATGGTTGAGCAGGGCACATGATCCCGGTCGGACCGAGACACCAGGAGCCACAGGTACCGGAGAAAGAGCTGTACTGACGGCCAGCAGCACCGGGGACAGGAAGTCACGTCAGAACCAGCAGAATGGGTCTGTACTAATATTCTTATAATAATCAAAACAGCTGATTATTGCTCACATACAGCTCATGTCACGTGGTAAATCTAATGTTCCAGTATGTCAGTCAACTGATACAGCTCCAGTGGATGTTACAGGGACTGATAATGGAACAGCTGATGGCAGGAAATAATCAATCAATAACAACTTTGATAATTATTCATATGTAAACCTCCAAACATCAACTGGAGCCGGGAGTTATAAAATGATGAAGTTATTATTATTAATATATCAATCAATTAATCAATCAGACTTTATTCATATAGGACTTTTCCTGCAGGTTAGTGCAGTTTCAAAGTGTTTCAAGAGGTCAAGAAAGAAAGTGACACTGAGATACAGTAAAATAGATTTAAAAAGCTACTGTACAATAACTTAACAAACAAAAACAAACGTAACAAAATGAATAATTAAAGAACAGATAAAATACAATTTACAAAATATTTACAATATAATTGTGTATAATTACAATTACAACATAGTCAGCTGTGATGAGATTAAATTACCACAACTACTGTGAGTGTTCTCCTCTCTCACAAAAATCAGTTAAAATATCTACATTATAAAATATCTTAAATATTTTAAGGTACATTGACATTTACGAAGTAACCCTCAATTATCTCTTAATTTTTATCTTAAAATGGATTTTCAGTTAAGATGTTTAACATTAATACCTTCATGGATTTAAGACATTTCATTTTGTTTGGTCAGTTTTAACCAGGCCGCTAACTTAAACCATGCAGATAATCCATTAAACTACATTAATCCATTACTTTATGCATTGATTAATCCCTTAAAATTACATTACAAAAGACCTTATTGACATTATTTTTAATGGGTCAATGAATGTAAGGTAAATAAAGAGACTTCACTCTGATAGTGACAGTCTCTTCCGGAAGCTGTCCGACACGACCACAGTCTGATCTGAGAGCAGTCGTTGGGGGAGAGGGGTCTCCCACACGGAGTCTGTCCTGCTGGGTCAGAGGTCAAACCCACAACCTTCCTGTCACTCCACTGAACGTTTAGGCCACTTTACAATGTCCGGAATGATTAAGTTGCTCTTGACGTGGCTCTGACTGACACTGTTGTAGATGTGGTGAACGTCGCTTGTTGTGATTCCTGTTGGTGACAGAAACACAGGTGAAGACAGGTCAGTCATAAGAGCTGTAGTAGTGATACTGTGTGACTCCAGCTGTGCTCTGTAATGTTTTGAACAGATGCTGTCAGTGTGAAGGGAACTCCGTCAACATGTGAGGAGAACGTCCCGGCAGGTAACTTCAGTCTGTCATTATGATGTCATTAGTGATGCAGAGATAAAAAAAAAAAGCACCTGATGTAATGCCTCTGTTGATTTAGGGGCATATGGAGCTTTTGACTGTATGTTGGTGATGTTCCACTGGCTGTCGCCTGTCATTCTTGTTCCACCTGCAGATACCACTGCTTACCGTCTGGCATATGCCATCTGTGTGCCAGTCTTATATGTGTCTGATGCCATTGGGAAGTGGCATGTGACACCATGTCCCCCTTTTTGCTGGCAGCCATCAGTGTATATAGTCAGTACAGGTCACTGTGTACTGCCCATTAGAGGTTGATATTTATATTCAAGATAAAAACAGAGCAAATGTACCATGATGCATTGCTGTCAGTGGCTCTGTCAAAGGGTCATGAGAGTAAACACATGACCTGTAAAACAGACTCAGAGGAAAATCATGTGACAGAATCTGAAGTGGTTTATACCTTGAACCTGTGAGTTCCTCCAAAGTCACTCATTAATCTGAGAGTCGGTCACAGTGTCATCATCGAGTCGAATTACTGCATGGGTTTATAGAACAGGAGCAGTGTGGAGTTTAATCATGGTGTGAATCAGTCTCATGGTTTAAATCTAACAACAACAGCCACAATCATTCATCACATGAGAAGGTGGTCATATTGTCAACTGTTGGTCAGAAACATGACAGGTCTCATTGTCCATCAGAGCGTATCAGGTATCTGTAAAGGAAACTGAGTTAGCAGGATTAACACAGATCTATTATATGTTATACCACTATCAAGAAAGGACAATAACTCATTTTAATAACCACTTTTATAATTATTAGGTATTTGATTGATTTATATGTATAAATACAGCAGAAAGTGAGGCCCGGAAATCTGAGACCACCTTCCTAAAAAGAGATTCGGACCCCACTATATCAACATATATGCCAGTACTGATATGTTGGTGGTAAACTAAAATCTTTAAAGCAGACGTGCAAATTAAAGGGGCCAACAAGAGACAGATTATTCTAAAACATTAAAACACTCAACAACTTCAGGCTTCTTGTTTTCCATTCTCTCCCTCTGAAATAACTCCAGTGGATTAGGATTTAATTCTTTTAGGGAGTCCGAAAAGAAAGAGTGAGCAACAACAGTCATGCACAGTCATTAAGACATTATTCTGACATTATTCTGACTTTATTATAACATAATTATGACATAATTCTGACATTATTTTGACTTTATTATGACATGTTTATGACATCATTTTGACATCATTATGGCATTATTATGACATTATTCTAACATTCTGATATTATTCTGACTTTATTATGAAATTTTTATGACATCATTATGACATTATTCTGACTTTATTATGACATTATTCTGACATTATGGTGATTTTATTATGGCATAATTATGACGTCATTATGACATTCTAACATCATTCTGACATTATTGTGACATTATTCTAAAATCATTCTGAGATTATTATGACACAATTATGACATGATTATGACATCATTCTTACATTATCATGACATTATTCTGACTTCATTATTACGTAATTATGACATTATAACATTATAACATTATGACATTATTCCGACATCATTATGACATTATTCTAACACAATTCTGACATTATTTTGACATTTGTATGATATTATTCTGACATCATTATGACATTATCCCGACATTATTATGACATCATTCTTACATTATTCTGACTTCATTATTACATAATTATGACATTATGACATTATTCTGACATCATTCTGGTATCATTATGACATTAGTTTGACATTAATCTGAAATTTTTCTGACATAATTCTGACATTATTATAACATCATCAAGACATCATTCTGACATTATTATTACATAATTATGACATCATTATGACATTATTCCGACATTATCTGACATTTGTATGACATTATTATGACATTATTCGTACATTATTATGACTTTATTATGACATAATTATGACCCTATTCTGACATTATAATGACATGATCCAGACATTAATCTGACAATTTTATGACATTATTATGACATTTTTCCAACATTATTCTGACATTATTCTGACATCATTCTGACTGTGTTCTGACTGTTCTCTGTTCTGCCTGTGTTCTTACTGGGTTCTTACTGTTTTCTGTTCTCTGCCTGTTCTCTGTGTTCTGGCTGTTCTCTGACTGCTCTCTGTGTTCTGTCTGTTCTCTGCCTGTTCTCTGACTGCTCTCTGTGTTCAGCTCTGCCTGTGCAGCTGGAGCTGGTCAGAGGTCCTGAGCGTCTTCCTGCAGACGACCAGTTAAAGGAAATGTTGAGAGGGAAACTGCGTGTTCTGCAGGTCGACAGCACCAAGGTCAACGCTCTCTTCATGGTACAGCTCATGACAAACACACACACACACACACACACACACACACACACACACAAACAGAAACACACACACACACACACACACACACACAGAAACACACACACACACACACACAAACAGAAACACACACACACACACACACACACAAACAGACACACACACACACACACACAAACAGAAACACACACACACACACACACACACACACACACAAACAGAAACTGTCCTTTTAAACTGTAAAACAGGCGACTTCCTGCAGCAGTGAGCTGCATGAATGAAAAATGAATAATAATAATAATAACTTTATAGCGCCTTTCAAGGTACCCAAGGCCACCTTACAGGGTTAAGTGTTTTGTTGCTTTATGGATGTGAGGTTAACTCTTGTGCTGAGCTGCACCTGTGTAAAGAGACGTGTGTGTGTCAGGAGTTTTGCAAAACTGAATTCAGTATACAGTCAGTAAAAAACCAGTGATCACTCACAGTCACTGTTAAAGATTCTTCCTAAAGAACAGAGGCTGTGGTCAAAAACCTGGTCTTAAGATTTTTAAGCAGGTCCTGCAGCTTCTGTTCAGCAACATGTTCCAAATATTAGAAGAATATTCCTCCGAGTAACGTTGTCTTTGTTACAGTCGAAATTGTGAAATGTGCCTTAAAGACATGCTGTGTTACCTAGATACGGGGATGGGCTGCATCATCAGCCCACGCTTTGTTTTCCTTTTTAGTTGAGCGGTGGGTAAGAGTGGTAAAAGTGGGTACCTGTTAATGCGCTCCTTATTCGTTAAGCTCCTCAACTCCAGAGTAACGTTAAAGGGAACGTGTGGTTTCTGTTTTGTTTTTGTATGATAAGATAGAGCCGTCCAACCGGGCATGGGAAAGGTGAAGTGTAGTGAGTTAATAAACCACGAGTATTGTGGTAGTTTTTCCCTCCTCTGCTTTTCTTCACTCTCTCCAAACTACTTCAACCCAAATACACCGACCCAAACTGAGTGTCTGTAGTCATGACATCTTTCTTGTCTCTGTCTGCAGGAGCTGTCTGCTCACGTCATCTCCATCAACAGTGAAGAAAAAGTTATTTATGTAAGATTCAAAACATTTGAGGAGATATGGAAGTTCACCACATATTACACTACAGGTATGTTTGTAATGAAATAAAATAATATAGTTGTCAGTGGCATCTTTTGCAATATTTTGAACTATCTGTACTAATGCAACAGTGCTAAACTAATAATGATAATTATTACATCATATTAAAGCTGTATGTCTGTTTCATAGTAAAATATGATCATCACTTTTCTGCTCCTCCTCCTCTCCTCCAGGTTTCCTGGGTCAGTGTATGGAGAGTTTGTTGTTGGACCAGACGTTCTGGCTCAGTTCTTTAGAGGACGACGTTGCTATTGAAGTTTCCATTCAGGAGGAAACGCTCAACCTTATCTACAAACGCATCCTCATGCAGGAGGGTAGGTGATGAAGAGAAAGGGCAGTGTGTTACAAATGCTAAGACAGACACAATAACCTCACTCTCTTTCCTTAGGTTCGTTGTTTGCTAGTTGCAGTGCCAACCAGATGTTTGACAGCTCCATCTCTGGTGGAGACCTGTACCTGGAGCAGGGAGACATAGCCCAGTTTGAGCCTCCCTTCATGGGCTCAGGTTGGACTGTTCTCTGCCTAGCTGATGGAGCCCGGGGCACTGCACCCAAACCTGCTCTGGAGCCAGTCATTCCTTTTCATCAGTGAGTCACCTGTACACACAGAGCTGTGTGGACTCAACACATCTCATAGGATCTCACACTGACCTGATCGTACAGTAGACAGGCGCTGTTCTGCTCTGGTCTAATAATCCATGTATTCACAGGTGGTTTCTCAAATCCTGTTCTGAGAGCATTTTAGTTGGAGATGGCAAACCTGCCTGTGACTTCCCTCTGCAGTTTGGTAAGAGCAGTAAAAGCTATGGAGGGTGGTTTCAACATATAAAACATATAAACATATAAAAAAGAGAGAAATGCCCTTATATAACTTAGAATCATGTTCATAATTAAGTGTTTACGTATAACTTTATAGTACTGTAGGACCACTGTTTTAACATTTCAGTTTTATTTTATCATTTCAGCTTTCTTCAGGAATTACATTTTGACTGCAACTTTAACTTTTTTACAGTATTTCAACAATTCCAAATGTTTTAACTGCATCATTATTATCATTATTATTAGTAGTATTATTAGTATTATTAGTAGTAGTAGTAGTAGTAGTAGTATAGACTTAGATGATTTAACTCCAATTCATGCCTGAAGTTTAGGTGAATCTTCAAATCTTTTTACTTCAGATGGTACTTCGGCTTTGCTAAGGGCTTATATTAAAGGGTCAATATAGTATAGAGGGAGATGTCCATGTGTTGTTTGATTATAAAGCAGGTCTAGGTTCTATTTTAATACTGTGACTGTATTAAAGCGCTTGGTCCACAGAGAAATGCACACAGCCTGTATTCAGAAACTGAGCATTAAAACCAGCCGTCAGGACTTCTGGAACTTTGTGATGTCACAACAAAGCAGTCACCACTCTCACTGCACAACCTTGTAGGATTTGGTTTCTCTGAGTGTTTACCTGAAATCTGCAATATTCTGTGGATCACGCAGAAAACAGTCAGCCAATCAGAAGAAACGCTCAGAGCCTGAGGTTGGTGACTGTCTTGTTGTGACATCACAAAGTTCCAGAGGTTTCTGATTGGCTCACTGACCTGTTGTTAGTTGAGCTCCAGGGAGAGGCCAGAGGAGATGTAAAACTACATTTAGATGGTTTTTGGTTCTTAAAACCACGAATATAACTTCTTATGGCTCAACACTTCAAATAAAACACAGAAGAGGAAAATACGGAGCGTTAAACTACCATTTCAACCAGGAATTACATTTTAACTGCCATTTAACTTTAACTTTTTTATAGTATTTCAACAATATAGTGAAATCATAGTATTTCAACAATATAGTGAAATTTTCCTTGTTCAACTGACAGTTCAACTGCTGTCATCAGTTTGATACAGTATATGAAGAGCTTACAGCAGCCCTCTCTACAGTTATCAGTGATATGTTATGTTTAGTGTTTCCTGAAGAGAATTAAAAGCCTTAATGTTCACTCTGCTCTGTTCAGCCAGGGGCACCTGTGTGGCCACAGAGGAGTATGATGCTGAGGGCCCAGATGAGCTGAGCATGGAACTAGGTGATCGCATCATCATTGTGGGACTCCTGGTGTCTTGTTTTGATTGGTTCACAGGGAGAAAGGAGGCGACAGGAGAAGTGGGTCTGGTCAAGACGAGCCTAGTGAAACCGTCCACTGACATTTGCGAGTGGGTGTATCACCGATATTAATTATATGTCATCTATTATATAGTATATGAAGCCTTTGGAATTATCTTCACTTATGTTTAAGTTTGTGTTAAAATCTGATCAGATCTTCATCGAAGTAACAATAATGAACAAACCCAATCTGTTTGAACTAATAACAAACAAATCAGTGTGTTCTTGTCAGGTGGCCAGTTAATGCAGAAAAACGGGCCGTTCCAAAGGCTTCACATGTTTTCTTGTCACTGTTTACAACAGGATTATATGCTGTTCTCTTCTCTGCAGCTCAGCAGATATTTTTTTGGAGAAAGAGGACGGGACGTTCTTCAGTCTGCAGGAGGACAGAGTCATAGAGGAGACGACGGCTTTACTGAAGAAGAGATCTCAAGAAGACACTGGTCACAACTACAAACTGGGTAAGAGAGGCTGCAGTGCTGATGTTCAGCAGGTGTAAAGTTTACCATGTTCCCCATTTTACTTTAGTGTGTTAGCATGCTAATTAGCACTAAACACTCCAGTCCAGCTGAGGCTGATGGGTCATAAACTTTGCAGGTATTTGCTCGTGAACCAAAGGATTACTGTAGTTTCCTGCATAAATATATGAGCCTAATTTCATGGCAGTCCATAGTTGTCAAGATGCTTCAGTAGAAGTCAAAACCAGTCAGCTGTGTGATCGTGCTAGTCATTAGGATTCATCCTCTGGGGATGATGAAGATGTCGACATCCTCTGACCACACGTCTAATGGATCAAAACTCTAATAACTGTGTTATAAGACAGAAATCTGTTGAATGTATTCTCACCTCTGATAAAACAAAAGTAACACACTGTTATGAACAGGGATGATCCGAAGAACCTACTTTTTAATTGGAATTGGCTCACGGCAGCAGTGTTAAGGTTGTTTCTTCTATACCTGAAGAGACCAGGGAGTGAAATGAGCAGAATCCACCACACACACACACACACACAGAGCAGAAAAGACATGGAGGAGAACAGACTCTGGGTTAATGTGAGCTCAGCTCAGGCATCATGACAACCAGACTCACAAAACAGGCTTTTGGCCATAACTCACAAATTCATTCAGTAATTAAGGCACAATTTAACAAAAATGTCTATACGGATGAAAAGATCAAGAGAAGACATTTTATATCCAAAAGGTCAAAGGTCAACTTCACATTGACATCATAATGACATCAAATTGTAACTGTAACTCAGGAAGGAGAGGTTGTGACCACATGTCCTGTAACTTAGCTGGTTGAAACAACCACGAGGAGGTGATTCCAGTTTTATTGTATTTCAATTTTTCATTTGCGGCTGTGAGGAAGTGATGAACTCCCAACAATGCAGCTCCTCCCTATGTGACCTCTTGTCAGTCTGAACATGTTCGAGGAAGCTCACTGATGTGCCGGACCGTTCTTGATTTATGAAACCAATGTTTAAAACATTTTACAATTGGATTTGAGCTGAATTGTTGTTTTCAGGAAGTTGTCTCATTCACTTTTTCTTGTTCAATCTCAGATGTTATCAGTTGCCAAGACTCTGAGAAGAAACCATTAAGTAAGTGTTTCTGCTTAAATGTCATATGAACATGTTTTTTATTTGTCTCTTCTTTAGTTGAGTTTTGCTTGTTCCATCCATTTCTCTGTTGCAGTCAGCTGTTTGAGTGAAGCTGAGACTCAGCAGACTGAGCTGAAGATGAACATTCAGAGGCTTCTGGATCAGGGAAAAGACTCAGCACCAGATCTCACTGTGACTATGAAACGGTCTTTGGAGGACTCGGTTCCGTCTACAGAGGCTGAAGACCCGAGCCCCCCCCGTTTCACCGTTCACCCGATTGTAGAAGGAAACAACAACACTGAAAGCTTCATTCCCCTCTTCTCTTTTCTGGAGGGACAGCTCTACAAAGCAGAGTTTGGCGTCCTGTACGGTCTCAACTCTGAACTCCTCACCTCCTCCACCTTCTCTGGTCACTCTGACGAGGATCAGCTGATCGCTTTCCTTGCTGTTGCCAGGGAAACAGCCAGGAAGAAGCGACTCTTCTGGTCACAGACTCGTTTGTGCTTCCTGTTGGGTAAGCTCTGCGCCGGGAGGTCAAAGTTCAGCCAGGCTCGGGTTTACTTTGAGGAAGCCCTCAGCGTTCCACGAGAGGGCTTCAGGGACCTCAAGCTGTTGGCCAGCATCTATTCCAACCTGGCCGCCATTTACCTGCTGCAGAAAAACACAGACAACTTCTTTGCTGTGACTCAACGACTCGTTGCCTTGATCCTGGGAATCCCAGACTGCCTGCAGAGCTTAGAGGACAATTCTGCTCTTAAATACATCCTCAAGAAAGCTGTGCTCTCCCACAACAGAAGGGCAGAGGCCCGGGCTTGTTACCTGTTGGCAAAGCACCACTGGACCCACGCCGATGGGGCTCAAGCTGTCCCCTATCTTGAGAGACTACTTGTTCTTTGTGCTGAAGCTCAAAGAACATGGAGCATCTCTCTGAGTCATGGATACCTCAGCCTGGGGAAGCTCTACAGTCAACTCTGCCTCCCCCACCTCAGCGTCAGTTCAGCAAGGAGAGCTTCTCTGCAGCCGTCTGCACAGCTGAGCGACTGTCTTCACAGCATGGGTCTGGTTCTGGACAATGTGCACAAACTGAATGGGATCACGGAGCAAGATGTCTCTGTCCCGCCTCAAGTGGCGCCATTTTTACACCAGGCCCTCTCATTCACCAAGTTCCAGGGAGGAGGGAAGAACCAACACCACACTTTGTTCCATCAGCTGACTGTGTGTCTCTGCCAGCTGTTTTATAAGCACAGAATGGTTGGCCACGCCATCCACCATATGCATCGCCTCATCAACAACAGTCCACCTTTACAGCAAGTCCCCATCTCTGTGCCAGAGAGAAACAGCGCCCTCATCTGGCTGGCATGGCTTCACATCGACGACCAACAGCCTGGTGTGGCTCTGGACATACTGGACTCGGTCCTGTCTTCAATGCCAGAGCACTGCACAACCCCCCTGGAGGGTCAGTGGATTTTTATGGTTACATGTTACAGCAAGATGAAACTTAAAATTATTACACAACTAGGGTTGCCACCCGTCTCGTAAAATATACAATTGTCCCGTTTCTTACACTTAAACACTGTTTGTCCCGTATTCCCAGTTGCCTTGAACTCAGCATCATCCAACCCGCATTCAGCCTCTTATGGCTAGTACTGGCCTGCCCATAGCGTTCGTTGGTTTGGTTGGTTAGTTTTAAGCACAAGGAATGATAGATCGTCAGTGACAGGGTGAGAGAAAGTGTGTTAATAAGTTAATTTGAAGTTTAAGTTAATAAAGTGTACGTTAAATAGCTAGTAATAAGCATCTGCCAACGTTGTGTTATGTGCATTTCATTGTGCAAACATTAATGTCTTATCTGTCGTATCTGCCTTTACACTAAGGTTTTGTGTTTGCAGATTATTTCTTAAAATTAGCACTGTGAAATGATGTGAGGATAACATGCTGTTTTTTTCATGGTCTCTCTGTCGCGCTCTGATGTTGGAGATGGAGTTCATTTGTCAACATTGACTGAAGTAAAATTTATTTGGAGTTTGTAACTTCAAAGATATCTATAAAGCTTATTTCTAAAAGACATTGGTTATAGAGCACTTTAAAGTATGAATCTTAAGACTTTATTAAAACAATGTTTAAAGTTATGATTTACCACAACTAGTGCCCCACCCCACTCTTGGGCCAGAGGTGATCGGGCCCCCGTGGAGCGGCGCCCCCACTGGAGGGGGCGTCCTTTATTTTTCTGCACGGAAAGGTGGCAACCCTATATACAGTTGTCAGTTATATGTCAGTCACATGTTTTATCAACAGGAGCACATGCTCATAATGGCTCCTGTGGTTAGCCTGTGTCCCGTGTCAGAGCATTGTGCCCATCCTCAGAGATTAAAGGAGCTATTTGTAGGTTTAGCTATTGCTACATAGCAACGTTTGCATTGACAACTGTTTACTTACCAGTCTTGCCAAGAACTTCAGCCAGGTAATAATACTCGACATATATTGCACTGTGGGTTGGACCTCGCTTCAGTCAGCAAGAAACAGACATCTCATATCATTTATTTATAAAGCTTCCAAACTACCTCACATCTCTTCCCTCATTTAAATCCAGTATCCACAGTAACTACTTCACCCTCGATATCCCTCATGTTCACACTAATATTGTCAGAACTGGTTTCAGGTACTATGCATACTAGAGTCTTACATTTCCCTTGGAGATTTTAAATCTTCACTATTTGATGTATTTTATGACTATTGTAAATGTTTTTGTTAATTCTTTGTGTCTTAGTTTGCTCCAGGCTGTGTCATTCATGCTTAAGTACATGTGTTTGACTGAACATGAAGGTGTGGTGCTCAACATGCGTGGTGTGGCACTCCGATGTATGGGCGACCTCCAGAGGGCGGCAGAGAGCTACCAGGCTGCCGTCGACATCTGCCAAGAGTATGAGGACCTGCCAAACTGGGCTGTAGCTCAGGCTAACCTCGGTAAGACCACACATGCTGTGTGACAGGTGGGTCCTCCGGCGGACTTCAGTCCTGTGAGGTGACATTGTCCTTCCTCGTCCTCATGAAGGGCTGCTGTGTCTGAAGGCGGGAGCTAGAGGCCTGGCTCAGAGGCACCTGACGGAGGCTGTGCAGCTGTTCTCAGAGCTGGATTCAGACGGTCACGAGGCGAACTTCATCACAGTGCTGCTGAAGCTTGGGCAGCTCTACGTGACGCAGCAGCAGGTGCACTATGGGAAAGGATGCTACGAGTGGGCTCTGCTGCTGGCTATCAACGCCAACCTGTTAGACTGTAGGTGCCTTTGTTCTGGTTTATATTCTGGGATCGTGCTGTGTCGTTTCAGTGATCTGTAACTGACTGTTGCTCGTTGCCAGGTCAGCTGACTGCAACCAGAGACCTGTGCTGTCTGTACGGCAGTGAGAGTCCAGACCAGGCCCAGTGCATCATCTACAACCAGCACCAGGTCCAGCTGCTGAGACGCACCGGAGACAGAGCACAGGAGGGGGACGCACTGGAGGCCGTCAGCCAGCTCTACCTCACTCTGGGCACAGAGAGGTGTGTGTGTGTGTGTGTGTGTGTGTGTGTGCGTGCGTGCGTGCGTGCGTGCGTGCGTGCGTGCGTGCGTGCGTGCGTGCGTGCGTGCGTGTGTGTGCGTCGAAGATGAATTTGAGTTGTTGAAATAATCTAAGTGTGTGAATGTTGTCAGGGCGTACAGGGCAGCTCTGGACTACACCAAGAGCAGTCTGGGTATTTTCATCGATCTGGGCTGCAGGGAGAAGGAGGCGTACGGCTGGCTGCAGGCCGGGAAGATCTATCACCTGCTGGGCCAGACTGAGCTGGTGGACCTTTATGTTCAGGTCTGAGAACACACAGTCTCTGTCTGTCAGTCTTTAAAGTACTGTTAGGTCTGAAATGGTGGATTTTTTTTTTGTTGACTTTTTTATTTTTGTATCATACCATTAGAGTGGTCTGTCCCACAAAATATGAAATATAAAAATCGAAATCCAGCAGCTCCATCCATCCACTAGCTTATCCTTTGAGGGTCGTGGGGGGGCTGAACCAATCCCAGCTGACATTGAATGAGAGGCAGGGGTACCACTTTACAAGACGACTACACTTATAAAGGGTTTATAAATGGTATACAGTTGGGTTATTAATTCGTTTTTTAACACTTTATAAAACATAAATAAACAATTATAAATAAGTTACAACAGTTTTCATACATCAACGCAGGCTCACTATTTGGCAAGATCAAGTTAATGCTTTCTACATATTAATCTTACTACTGACTTAGTACCATTTATAACTGGTAAAAGGAGCCTTATTGTAAATCATTTATATATCGTTTATATTTATATCATTTATTAACAAGTTACAATAAGGTCTCCAGCCTATCACAGAGCTGCTTCTAGCAACTAATATTTATAATCCAAATAAAACAAAACAACAAAAGCAAATCATTGATATTAAATATCTCTAGGTTAAAGCTCCATATTTTCTCTTCTGTGTTTTATTTGAAGTGTTGATCCATAAGAAGATATATTTGTGGTTTTAAGAGCCAAAAACCATCTCAGTGTAGTTTTACATCTCCTCTCTCAGGCTTCTCTCTGGAGCTCTAGTAACAACAGGTCAGTCAGCCAATCAGAAGAGAGGAGGCTCTCTTCCGATTGGCTGACTGTTACTGACTGTATAGCAGATTTCAGGTAAACACTCCTGCAAGGTTGGATGGTGGGTCCAAGTGGGCGGAGTTTGGGGCTGTTGAGTTACCACAGTCTTTCTGTCAGCTCTAACCCGTCTTAACTTTGTCCTGCACTGCCGCCATATGATTGGCTGATTGGATAATTGCACAAATCCTAAAAACTGGTGTGTATTAGAAAACTGTACTTTTTCCGGAATGTGTTCATGGGACCCTGAAGATCTGCTGCCATTGACAGGTAAACTAAAACTCACACTGAGAAGTTTCAGAATAAAAGCCTGTGTTTCTGCTGATGTCCCTGTCAGGTAGCTCAGGACGTCGCTCTGAGCATCGGAGACACCGGGTTCATCCTGAAGCTGCTGGAAGCTGCAGGAGACATTTTCTTCAACAGCTGCCAGGACAGAGACAAAGCCATCACCTTCTACAGGGTAGGTGCTGAAACTATAGCAATAAGAGTTCTGTTAAAGTGAGTCAGAATTATCCTTTAAGCCTTTCAAATTGTCCTGTTTGTGTGTGTGTGTGTGTGTGTGTGTGTGTGTGTGTAGGACCGAGCTCTGCCCATCGCAGTGAAGAGCGGCAGCGTTCACACCAGGCTGAGGCTGTGTAATAAACTGACTGAGGTGATGCTCAGTCTCCAGCTGTACGGGGACGCTGTGGAGTTTGCTCAGACCGCTCTGGACATCAGCATCACTCAGGGTACGAGAAACAACTCAACACAGACACTCAGCAGCTCTGTGGGTTTTTATCACAGGTAGTTGTTGGTATTTGTTGCTCTGAACCAAAGTGGTACACATGTGAGTTTCTCCTGATAGTTTGAAGTCCTGTGTTATGCGTTTGTGTTTTACATACAGGTGAGTGTCTGAATGAGCGGGTGGCCTACCACCGCCTGGCCTCTCTCTACCACCGCCTGGAGCAGTATGAACTTGCTGAACACCATTACCTGAAGACCCTGACCCTGTGTCCAGCACCTCTGCAGTTTGATGAGGAGACACTGTACTACGTCAGGGTCTACCAGACACTGGGGGACATCATCTTCTACGACCTGAAGGTGAGGGATCACGTAGCAGGTCACCTAGACAATGTGCCTCACAGTTTTGTTCAGAGTTCAGACTGAGGCCTACTTGAGCTGATGTGCCGCAAAATACCAATGATGTGCACCCCCAGACTGTATAGGTTACATCCAGAGTCCTGTCCCAGGTCAAGACCATCAAGTTGGAAGTCAGGACCAACATATCCCACGACTAACAAGTCCCATGTTCTAAAGTCTAAAGACCAGGGGTCAGATGCGTAAATGATGCGTACACATGAAGTGGTATTCATAAACACAGGATATTCACAGGGTTTTCCAAAGTGATCCATGTTACAGTGAAGTGGAAATACTAAATCAGAGACACGTAATTTAACACAAAATAAAATAACGGACTTCACGGAGCTTCATTCGTTATCATGATTATAAGTTTTACTGTTTACACAACTATAACAATTGAACAATCATAAACAACTAATGTTTGTGCTCAATGTTTCCTTCAGCATCGTTTAATGTTCTTATTCTCCACTGTGAGTCATTCTGTAACTGTTTCATACTATTAGAATATTGACTGATCACAGTGTTGGAGCCTCATTAAGACTCTCTGGTCCCAATAAACTTTACATTAGAGTAATTGTACTAAAGTAAAGTGATGAACGTTTGTACCTGTTTCACAATCAGTGAAATTCTTTTTCTCCTCTTCCTTCTCTGTGTCTGATCACTTGTGGTGGAGACAAACTGACTGATTATTGATGGCTGATCGTGGGAGTGGAAATGAGGCTCGTGCACATGCGCCCGAGTTCTCAATGAGTGAGATTTATAAAGTGGAACCATGCGTACACATGGCTTTATAATCCTGCTGAAAAGAATGTGTGTGTATGTTTCTGGTTATGTGCAACACGTAGTTTCAGTCATGAATCTACACTGAGTTTTATGCATCTGGCCCCTGAACTTTGTTTGAAGAACTTAACAAGTCATTCAGCATCAAAGATGAGTTCCAAGTCATTTCTGATTTTGTCAGTGAAATGCTGCACAGACAACAGGAAAGGCCCATCTCAACACAAAGTTAGCATAGTGCTAATCTTCATACTCCTTAACCCGCTCAGGGAGCTCTTGTTCCCTGTACGGAGGCATCTGCTTTTGTTATGATTTCACTTATTTATTCCTCTTTTTCCTAATAATTTCTCACCAATCTGTACATGTGACTATTGCTCGGCTGTTTCAGAACCATGGACAGAGCTGTTTGTTGTGTAGCTGTCACACAGTGATAGTTTTCACAGTTACCACCTCTTTGTTCTTTAGGCACTGTGGATGTTTTTATAATAGGGACAAATTATTTTCAGTTGTTCAGACTGAAGGACTTGTTGGTGTTGCTCTGTTCTTCTATTCATGCGTGTGCATCATAGACTGTAAATAAATATGGACGTAGTCTATGTGGTGTCACTCACAGGTTTCTGAAGAGCGGTTTTGAAGCTCAGAGAGAGCTGCTACACCGTCGCCATCTTGGCAGTGCCTGACTCTGCCCCTAACTCCCAACTAATCCTAAAATGGAAGCAAGATTTTTGTGCAAATGCTCACCCACCTGTCACACAAAGAGACCACGCCCATAATTATATATAAATTTAATCCTTAATCAAATGTAAACAGGTGAGTTATATAAACAGTTGTCATGAAGAAGGAAATTAGCTCTAGAGAACACTCTAGAGCTAATTTAGCTCTAGAAAACAGTTTTTGTACCAGGCTGTAAACATGCTTATTTCTGCTGTAAAGTTGGACATTTTAACATGGGAGTCTATGGGGACTGACTCACTGTTGGAGCCAGAGTCTAGTGGTCATTAGAGGAACTGCAGGTTTTGGTGTCGGCTTCAGTTTTCAGCCCTGGAGGTTGCTGCTTGGTGTGCATGAACATCTTTGCACTCATGCACACTACAAACAAAATGGGCACTCACTCATAAAAACATTGCTGCTCTCTACTCAGTACTAGAGTTCAAATTCCATAACAGCATATAACCTGAAAATAGAAAATTAAAATTAAAATATGCTTATTTTCTTGAAGATTAATATAAATAAACTAACTTAAATATAAATGAATCATGATCTCGAAATAACAGGATAAAAACAATGCAACCATATCCTCACTTGGCTTCCGTATTAATGTGTTTTTAACTGCTAAATTATATAAATTCTCTGCCGTATTTGTATCAAACACAACAGACCATTATATGACCAAATTTTTAAGGGCTGTGCATTTTGATGTTCTCTCTCCAGGACCCGTTCGATGCTGCAGGCTACTACCACCTGGCTCTGGCTGCAGCCATGGACCTGGGCAACAAGAGGTCTCAGCTGCAGCTGTGCACGCGCCTCGCCACCATCTACCACAACTTCCTCATCGACCGGGATCTGTCACTCTTCTTCTACCAGAAGGCGAGAGGCTTCGCTGCAGAGCTGAACGTGAGGAGGATTAATATCTCCCCAGATCAGCTTCACAGAAGCATCTCACAGGACAAGGCCACCGGAAAATTTTCTAACTAACTTCTTGATTGACGCACAAAGAAAAAAAAAAACCCCAGAAGATGGATGAGTGGATGTGTTGTTTCTTTTTTTTTAAAATCTTTTTCGCTTTTTTTCAGAAAAATCAGATTTAGAGAGAATGCCTGCATCAAGTTTACAGAGTCAACTGATCACAAAGGAGTTCCTATTTTTAAAGACCCTCTGTGGGGACGATGAAGATGAGGTTGCCACAGACTTGTTGTACTTTATGCACAAGATTCAACATTAGTGTCCTTCATTAATTCACATGAAATAAATCAATAGGTAAATGTCACAATGGGCAAAAAAGAAGTGAAACCTTCAACTCATCATATGTTATTTAAAAACAGGTTCTCAAGAGTGATGGAGAAGATATTTAAGGTTCAAGTTCTAAATGAGTTTTTCATTTTTTTATCCTTTGAAAAACAACAAAAAGGATATGTCAGGTCACATGTCAAAGTAATGTATATTTATAATCCAGTACATATACAAATATCCAGCGCGTATTGTTGTTTACCCATCACCCAACCAAAGCTAAACAAGAGGGAGTTTAGATTAGTTTCAGACCAACATTCATTAGTTTCCCATCCAGCGTTGTTTAAAATAAAACAACACCAGGCTGCACTACAACCACACACACCTCTACACATCAGACTGGTCGGTTATAACTCCATATAATAATAATAATAATAATAATAATAATAATAATAATAACAATAATAATAATAATAATATAAATCTTTGCAAATAGAACACTTTTCTAAACCCACATTACAAAGTGCTTTACACAAAGCAGCAAAATAAAACATGCAGGTCATATAAGGCAACAATTAAAATAAGCAATCAGAATTACAATGAAAGTGTCTTAGTATTATTAAAAATCAGTAAAAATCAATAAAACCAAAAAATGAAAAGTAGTCAATAAAATTAAGTAAAATCAGGAAAAGATTTAAAAGATGTAAAAAGAGATAACATGGAGACACCCACACAGTTTGTGCACCTACCATCCTGGGCGGGGCTCCATGTGCTTGCATTTATTATTCTGTTTCTGAGAGTGCAAAGCATGCACTGCACCCCCAGCTTAATATTCTGCACCCGGCCCTGTTTGGTGGAATCCTCCTGTAGCTGCATCCGGTCCGATCACACACTTACACTCTGCACACAAAAAGCTTTTTCCTCTGCAGAGAACAGTTCTCTCTTAATACCTGGTAAATCCATGCAGGTACACCTGGCATTTAAAGGGAATGGGAGATGAAAAAACTCTCCCATACAATCCTTTTGAACCATGCGCCTGCCGCTGAGACTGTTTCCTGCCGTTAAACTAGCTAAAGTGAACTTGGACACGCCCTAAATGCACTTGCTCCATGTGCTTAACGTCATGATTTTAGATGGTTAAAATAGGGCCTGCAGTATTTATAAGCTCAATAATCTCAGTCTGCTCCAGTAAAAATCTAAAGACACTAACAACCAAAACACAAACTCAAGTGAAACTGTTCTCTCGTCTTTCTAGAAAATATACAGTAATAAACTTTTTCAGTGACCTTGAGTAGCTGGTACAGATTTCGATGGATGCATACGATGAGATTTAATGTCTCCTGGTACTTAATGAACTACTGACACTGAATTCTCCTGATGGATTTAGTTAGAGGCTCTGTGACCAGCTCCGTTTTCTACCTGTATTTATTGAACCATCACAGCAGCTTGTGGACATGTGGAAATAAATTTAACTCAATCAATAAAAATATTAATATTATTCAGACTGTTCATGAGATTAAAGATATACAACTCAATGCATGTTAATCTGATTTTCCGTTTGAATGATTTTGATTTGAGCTGCTACAGATTGAAAATGTTCCAAAACCACATGTTGCCCATGTGTCAGCACGTGTTCCACACATTTCACATGTGAATTTAGCGTGTTTTCAAATGTTAAATTTCACGTGCCAAAATCACACGTACATGTGTCATATGTGCTCACGTGTGTCCATATGGACTGTGGTAATGGTAGTTACTGAATTCATCCAAAATGTAATTAAAAAATGAATTAATTTAAGCAAAATAAGGATTTTGTTCTTAATGCTTAAATTGCATCTGATTCACGTGCTTTCAGCAGTTTTGACAATAACAACTTTTCATACACAGAGCCATGTAAACGAAGGATGAAGTCATATACAGTCATTTCCACGGCCCCTGTACTGATACTAAATCTGTCCTCTTACTGCCAAACCATCATGATCCAGGTGTTCATTAAAGTCCAGGTAATCTCAGCTGAGGTTCGCCCTCCGTGACAGACTGTGTGTGCTCTAACACCACCTGTTGAACAGCAGTGAGAGACTGTGAGTGTCAGGCAACACTCGTCTCTTTATGGTCCGGCCAAACTAAACATGATCCGTCATCTTTCCTGCTTCCTTCCATGATTAACAGAGGAAATCAGTTGGTGCTGGAGTTTTATTTCAGCAGTGAATTACCTGACAGGCCTCAGGTGTGGTTGTAGTTTCTAACCTGAGCTCTCACTGAGTCTTTGAAGAAACTCTAATGAAACTGACATCTACAATATATTCATGAAGTGAAAGTTGTTCTGTGGTTAGTTTATTAATACACTTAAACTCATATGTGAGTGAAACAAGTGACCAAATAAATGATTTGATCTTGGATCCACAGACTCTGAGTTCTCAGGATCTCAGCTTCCCCTCAGACTCAAGTGTTTGTTGAAGTAATGAGTCTCTGGTGTCTTTTACAATAACTACAGTTTAATTAGGTTTTACAGGACGAGTCTTTAATGAAACTATGAGCCTGATGAGAAACTGCACTGCTTCCTTCCCTCTGACCGTTAATGTCTTTGTTCGTGTTACATTGCAGTCTACAGTAACAGTGATGATGAAAAGACACAAGGTAAAAATAATAAAGACTTCACAGGTGGTCAGATTTCTTCACAGTCTGCTCCTCTTTGGTTCACACTGTTGTTCAGTAAGTTAACCTGTTATATTTAAACCTTCAGCCTACTGTGTAAGGTGCACACTCTCATCTGGTTTTATATACGGTTTCCATCAATCACCTGGTTATGATGAAAATTACTATGAATTTCCCCTACCGGATAAATAAAGTATCTATTTATCTATCTATTTATCTATCTAATGTAAGGAAATATACTTGGACTTGGACACAAAGGGACTTCCAGGTGTGCATGTAAAATAATTCCTTTACTTCAATTCTTTCAGGAAGAGAGCCGTTCTGAAACCCAGAGTGGGCTGCTCCACCGTCGCCATCTTGGCAGTACCTGACTCCGCCGAACTCCCGGCTAATACAAAAATGGTCAAAGAGGAGGAGCGCGTGTGGTGCTGAGACTGCAGTACGTGATGGTATGTGGCAAGCATACACTCACCCACCTGTCACTCAAAACGGCCATGCCCTTAATTATGCAGAACTTTAAGCCTCAATAAAATTTAAACAAGTGAGTTATGTAAAAATTCACTGCCTGTACAGTCGTCAGGAAATTAGCTCTAGGGAGCAAAACTGTTTTGTACCAGGCTGTAAACATGTTTATTTCTAGATGGTGGACGGTGGAGCAGCCCACTCTGGGTTTCAGAACGGCTCTCTTCCTGAAAGAATTGAAGTAAAGGAATTATTTTACATCCACACCTGGAAGTCCCTTTGTGTCCAAGTCCAAGTATATTTCCTTACATTAGATAGATAAATAGATAGATAATAGATACTTTATTTATCCGGTAGGGGAAATTCATAGTAGTTTTCATCATAACCAGGTGATTGATGGAAACCGTATATAAAACCAGATGAGAGTGTGCACCTTACACAGTAGGCTGAAGGTTTAAATATAACAGGTTAACTTACTGAACAACGTGTGAAACCAAAGAGGAGCAGACTGTGAAGAAATCTGACCACCTGTTGAAGCTTTATTATTTTTACCTTGTGTCTTTTTCATCATCACTGTTACTGTAGACTGCAATGTAACACGAACAAAACATTAACGGTCAGAGGGAAGGAAGCAGTGCAGTTTCTCATCAGGCTCATAGTTTCATTAAAGACCTCGTCCTGTAAAACCTAATTAAACTGTAGTTATTGTAAAAGACACCAAGAGACTC